AAATGCTCATAAACAAGAAAACTACAACAGTTTAAAAATGTCTCCATAAAAATAACATGGAAATTTTAAATTTAAATTTTTTTTATTTTCTCCGTAGCCATTAGGCGCATAATATCGCTTTGATATACTAAATTAATAGTTTTTTTAAACTCTACAAAATTGCGTGGAAAGAAGTTGCTAAAATCTATGTTTTTAGGGTAAAAAATGTTAAAATCCAATTACCCTATAAAACCGCTCATAAACCATCGTTTCCATATCCTATTATGCTGATTCGCGAATCCCTTAGAACAAACGTAGGTTTACACATTTGCACCAAATTTAATCAAAATCGGATTACCTTTGCTCGAGTTATCGTGCTAACGGGCAAACATGTATATGAATTTGAACGGAGGAGGTTTTTGGCCTCTGGGGACCTGAAAACGGAAAAGTAAATGGGTCATGGGTCTAGGTCTTACCATGAGACCTACGGAATAGCTTTTGCCCTATTTAGGAAATTCGCTAAAATTTAGCACCACACTAAAACCACCACACACCTTTTACTTAAACGTATAATCTGCTACTGATCAGATGCACCATTTTTGAAGGATTTACTTCAAAGAAAAAGTAAATGGTGAGTTTTATTAATAACCATTTACTCAAGTCATGAGCAAAACCTCAAATTTCTATAGATTACCTTTTACTTCTAAAGCAAAAGGTTTTGCTTTAGTTTTTATTAATACAGATTGAAGGATTTGCTCGAATTTTCGCAAGTAAAAGGTTTACCTCATCTTTATTAATACGGCTCAATGAGGGTAGTTGAATTATTAAGGATATTAGAACCGATAACGGAATGGATAATAAACATAGACAATTAATTACGTCACTAGCTTTACTAGCGTGTTTTACGTTTTAAATTCCTTCAACATGTGACCAGTTCTTTTATTTAAATGAATATTATTTTATTGTTGACTCAGCTGTTTACCAAAACAAACTATATGTTGTTGTTTTTACTTTTCTTTGTTTAAACTTATTTATTTAGCAATTGATGCAGTGAAATTGATATATAGGATATGTGTGGACGATTCTTTTAAGATGTCAGGACACCAACGTTATAATTATGTGTACTGTGAATTTTATTGGATGTTTTCGTCTTATTTTAGGGAGTTTCTATTCAGACCTACTGGAAATTGTGTATAGTATGAGTAAGTGTATTGTGTTGATATTGATTATGGAAGAGGCAGGTATGCGATGGAATTGGAAAGTGATATCGTTGACTAGGCCTGTACACTTTCTCAATTGATAATTACTCTTTCTACTGTTGGATGCTATAAAATTTGTCTTTATACGTGTAAGCTAGCTGATCCGATTTATACACAGTTTTAACTGACTACTCCCGTACGTAGGACGGGCTAACACCTCGTATAAATTTAAATCAAAATAAAAAGCACTCTAGTCAAACATTTGCATTAAACTTTGATATGGCGTATTCAAACACCATGTGACCTTTAGCATAAAATATACAACTTCAGACTGCCTACAATCGGACGTCCTCGTCCAAATGCAATAGCTGTCAAGCAGATTATGATTAGTGTAAAGTAAGAGGGGCGGGCGCCCAGACCAACCCTCTACCCGCCCAATACACGCCCAATAGTAGCCGCCTACCCGCCCAGTACACCCTTTGCCACCCACTACATGCAATACCATATTATCGGGTGGGTGAGTTAGAATGTAAGGTCTCCTTGAACTTGGCGTGCATTTTGACTTTTTAGAGGCAACCTTCGGCCCAACGAATGCTACAAGAGTTAAATTATACAAGGTGAATTTAGCAAATTATCCATAACCGAATGATCTACTATCAAAACTCTTAGCTCATAAGGAATATCGGGATCCGCTAATTTTCAAGAGAAATATAGGATATTATAAATAATAACATAAAATATTCAACATAAAAATGCTTGTGTTTAAAAGACCTTTACAATTATGCATAATACAACATAGCCTATATTTATTTGTATCTAACAATTGAGAGATTTGCACTTGTGATCATCTGGATTGGTTCATTATCTATTCAAAAGACATTTTAAATACTGTTATGTTGTTCCTCGGGGTTGGTATGACTATAGTTTATCTAAAATAAATAGTGAACACCTTACAAAATTCACCCTGTATAATATGACCGTAGATTGAATGTAAAAGTTATATCATCGACTTTTGGATTCGAAAGTAGACATCCCATATAATTATATGGACATGCTATAGAAAATAATTTTGATAAAAAAAACACATAATTGAATGGAGTCACCCTCAGAAAGCCCAACTTTCTAAAATTGCATTCAAACCATAGCTTTCAATACTGTTGTAGTCGTTGCGACATAAAAAATACAATTATTGTAGTATGCTATCCTTTCATTTTTGCTTGGTTGAAAAAGATTACGTAATCGACAGAAGGTAGTAAAGGAAACCAATTTTTTGCGTTAGTGGCCCAGTTCAATTACGTTAATTTTCAACCTAAAAATTTATGAAAATTTAACAAGTGAATATAATGTTTAGCCGATAGCATGGTAATACTATTGATAAAAATAACAACTTAATATTGTCCCGTATGACTCCTTATGTATCAACCTAAAGACAGTTTTTGTAAGTTCATAAATGAATGGCTTAAACGAAACTTATTTTTTAACTTACTTGAAAATCATCTATCTATAATATTAAAACGAAACAGTGTTTTTTTATTTCACGATTCTGAATCAACCACTCGACGGATTTTCATGATTTTTGTGTTGAAAGAAAGATAATTTTGAGAACTAGGGAATGTCGAAGCCATAATTTTAGTTTAGGGCCCCAGTTTTTTAGAAATTAAGTTTTAATTTTGAAAAAGTCTAGCAGCCGACGCTAAGATTCTAAGCTAGCTTTTGGCATAAAATAATTTGCTTAACATAACAGCTGTAAACATTCAGCTTTTGTGTCACAAATTCAGCATTTGGATAAAAATGTAAAGACATACTTAGGGTTGACTTATTTATACTATGTGTAATGCTAATCATTGATACGTTCAATTCTTCTGTAAGAGGATGACAGATTAATTAAATATACTGTGGCCCTTTGGTGAGATTGATGGTGTGAAAACTGATTATTGATTCTGTGGTGATGTGATGTATTGATTGTAATTAAGTGAAATGTGTTGGTAATTGGCTGTTGTGGGTGTTAGGGCCTGGAGGACCCTAACATGTTGCAATTAAGAAAGTGCTGTACTCTACTACCATCTTGAGATGACAATTAAATTGGAAACGTTGTTGGGGAACCAGAGGGCGGAAATCTTTACCCAGACCAGAAGCAGGCCAAGCCAGCTTTGATTACTTATTTTTAACTATTTAAAAGAACTATAGCTAACCTTCCAAACTAAACTGGTAGATAGTGTAAATGGTAATGAATAAAAAACAGGTAAATATCACTCCCTAACTCATTACTGAATCAATTTGGACTCATAAGGCGATTCCTGAAAGAATTGATACTTAAGCCTTCAACGTGGTGATTTTTGCATGTCTAGGAATGATTACCTCGTTAAGCGAGGTAATCATATAATTTGGAATTTACATTTCTGCGAATGGGGCGAAAGCCTGCCGGCTTCCCCTTAAATAATTAAACTAGCCTATCATCCTGGTCTTAGCTCTACTTAATAATTAATTATAGACTCATCCTGATAAAACGAAGGCATGTCGATCTCAGTAAACGGACAATCAGAAAATCCAACGAAGGGGACGGAGGCCGGCGACAGACAAGACCGAGGAAAACTCGATTTCGTAGCTCCTTGACGTTTCTCGAAAAAAAGGCAAGCGGCAGACCGAAGGAGGCGCGCCGATCGCAAGGCCAGCGATTTAGTTGTGTGGCACTATATAAAATAGTGGCGCTGAGCGTCACAACCACCCCCCCTCAAGGTTTTTTTTTTTTTTTTTTTTGGTTAGGGAAGGAAAGTAGAGGTGTGTAGTGTTTCAAAAAGGAAGGTTGTCGCTCGAGTTGCTTCTCCGCATCATAATTTCTGGGTCCTCAGATACCTTTCCCGGTTTGGTTCAAAAGGAAGCCGAGAAATCGATGGGTGAAACAGAAAACCCCAAACCAGTCCGGCTCGACTTGGGACCTTGGGCACCTTTTTTTTTGGGGGGATGTGAATGTTTTTGTGATTGGTTGAGCCAAATACGACAGAGATCGGGATCCACCCCCCCTGCAAAAATGAGGAAGGAATGTGGGTTACGACAGCCATGCTATCCTGTTTGGGAAAACATTTGAGCTAGAATTGCATTTTGGAAACGATAAGGTTGGCAACTGCACGCACAAATTTTTTTTTTTATTATTTTTTTTTAATTTTTTTTTTATTATGCACTGTTTTGATTTTGTTTCTTGAAAGGGGAAGGTTTGGGAACACTGACTGTTCTGTTCGTTTTTGTGAGGGTGGGAGAAGGCACTCGCAGTTTGGGTTGGTTTGTTCCAGGCTGGCGGTTGTAGAGGATGAGTTGGCGCAGCTTGTGTGGCATAGGCTGTTGGTAGTCTGCTTGACGCTTCGCCGCAGTGACTGCTTCGTGGCTTTGTGGGCGGCGTCTTGGAGTAGACGGGTTGTGATGTCACTTCAGGAGTTCTGCGGTCTGCAGGCACTATTGGCCAAGGCGAAGCTGCTAGCAGTGCCAACCAGGACGAAGCTGCTGGAGGCTGAGTCTGGGTTGATTCACCAGTGCTGCGCACTCTTCTCCTTCCTGTCCACTGTTCCATTCACAGGTTGTGTCCACAGCGAGTCCATTTTGCCGGATTTGCTTTCGAGGCAATCGCACTGTTGTGTTACACTGGGACTTTCTTCTTTTTGAGGGATACCCACTTAAAAAAAAAAATATTGTTACTAATATTCTCAAGGTGCTTTTAATAAATTCATATATATATATATTTTTTTTTGATTGTGCAGCTGCTATACTGTAAAAAAACTGAGGTTTTAAGTATTACCGAGAATATAAAAATAAAAAAGGGTAACTGTCGTGTTACTTGAGGGTGGTGAAGGGTAAGTAGCAGGGCGGTGGACCGATCACTGACGGAGTTGGCTGTGATCTGTCAGGGGCGTTGTGGATTTGACCCACGATAGGTGCCGGGTAACCAAGGCTGGACTGGTGTGGGTCGCGTAAACCGATTTTTGTCTGTGCTTTTGTGTTTGGAAGGTGTGAAAGGATACAAATTCTATATTAACCCCTTTTTTTTATTTATTTATTTATTTTTTTTTATTTTATTTTTTTTTTTTTTTACGCATGCAAACTGCAATTAGCAAAATTATTCTTGATTTCACAAGCATGCTGCTGTTAACAAAGTCCCGACGATACGGTTTCTCTCTGGATTCGTGCCGGTTTTGTTCTTGGTGCGATACACGGGCGTTGATGGGACGGGCAAAAATATTTTCTATTGGACGCTTGTAGACCTATATATTAACTTAAATAATCTTTGGTTTTTCCTAAGACCTAACTACAGTTACCACTACAGACTACTTAAGTTAAGAAGAAAGGAAGAAAGAGATCAAGGGGATGATAGGAAAGAGTATATAGTGAGAGGTTGTCTCCCAACACTCGACTGAATTCAAGGTCGCCACAGAAGGTGCCTCTACTGAGCCCTTTCCTGCAGGGTAAAATTAAAAAAATTAAACATAAAAGGTAAAACACCAGCAGGAAAGTAATTTTTACATAAAAAAAAACTCAAAACAACTCAGCAGGGGTGTCGGAGACTAGAAGAGGGGGTATTTGACCAACAGCGCATGGGGAAGGGACGTGTAGGGCAGCCCATCCTATGGAAGGATACCCTGAGACTCACTAGTCCCCCGTGCGTTGGCGGTTGAAGAGACAGAGGGTGGAAGACTTAACTTAGTATCACATCGGCACTGCGTTTCTGGTCTGGGTAAAGGGAGTATTTCAAAATTGTGGTTGGAAAAAACGCTTCAATTGAGAGATATGTGCATTTCTGATGAATTTACCTGTGGATGGGTTTATCAAACGTGCTGTAACTGGTGATGAAAATGTTTCTATAACACAAGGCTTTGACCAGACAGGCAACAGCTTTTGATTGATTGAGTCGGCAGCCTTGCTTAAATGATGTTCCTTAAACATTACCCAATCTCCCGTCTTGTAGGGATTGGGCAATCTGTTTAAGTCGTAGCCTTGCTGCCTACGTTGCCTAGCTTTTGTGAGGTTTTGTACCGCCCTTTCCCATTCCTCACGTGAGGATTGTGGGGAAGCATGCTCGTCAACCAATTTGTCCAGGTTCCAATGCAACTCCAAGGGGTGGTACAGGTTTCTACCAAGAAATAAACGGGCTGGGGAAACTTTGGTTGATTCATGTTGAGCGGAATTAAAGGCTATCTGAAACCAGTGCAAGTCCTGGTCCCAGTGCTTTTGATGCTGGTGATGGAAAATCCGGATTGCAATTTTAATCTGTTTGTTGACCCTCTCGGCATGTGAGGGGTTGGGATAATATGGACTGGTGTAGATGTGTTGGATTCCTAGACCCATGCAAAGGTTCCTTACGGTGACGGATTTAAAATGTGAAACGTTGTCCGAGACTAAATACATGGGTGGTCCAAAAATAGAAAAAACCTGTTTATTGAGAAAAAAAAAATTGAGTTCACGGACACTGGTGTTTTCTTTTGCACAATAATAAAGACTGAAATTAATTTATTTTGTTCCTAGGTACCCAGTTAAAAGATGGTACAGTAAATGCCTGTAGGCTCTACCCCACAGTAGGCCTACTATACACCGTACCAAAAAATTTAATTAGTCAGAATAAACCTATTGAAACCATTCACATTCAATTAATAATGATGCATATAAAACACTGGAATAATAAACATTAAACTATATGCACTTACTCACTAACTAACCAACAGTAATCCTATAAACTCAACTTCCCTCCTACATCTAGGCTACTGCTCTGCAGCTACCTTCGGTTGGTCCTACTGAAGGCTAGGCCTTAACGCACCATTTTACTGGGAAGCTAACCTATGGGGCTATTCCAGCTAACTAATGCACAACTACTCTGACCTTTTGTGAGTGGCAACCCAGTTGAAGCAGTAAAAGGTAAATACACTTGAACACATTAATATAAATAAGCAAGTTACAAAATACACTGAATAAATAAGACATAGTACAGTACACATATGACACTGCATTGTAATCTGGGAAAATGACAAGTTAGGCTGTATTTTGGTACAATGATACTGTATATTTATCTATAATACAAGGCACTGACACATCACTGACTCTAAGGTACTGCTTGACAGTAAGCAAGGTGGTGGCTCTATAAGAACAAACAAACTGGCTTTGTAATTTACAAGGAAAACCGCCTTACTTGAGCAAAATGCTTATTTAATTAAGTAAAATGAAAAATAGGGACTGATCTGCAATAACCTACCTTAAGACCTGCCCCATTAAATTATTTATGCCAGCATAAATGCCTCTTGATAGGCCTACAGTAAAACAAAACACTAATACACTGTATCACAGCTCCGCAGCATCGTAAACCGCAGCAGACAACATGGATTAGCTGTAAATAACATAAAACACTGGCCTAAGGCACATATCACCTGGTTGCCACACTCACAGGTCCTCTATTGACATGTTGTGAAGATATAAATGTTGTAAAAGGAAAAAAACTGAGCCTAATTATTTAGAAATGTGCTAGGACTAACCAATGGGGTGTCTAGCCTAAATACCTAGCAATTGCGAAAGCCATTTCAGGAAAAGCCATAAAAGCCCAAATTTAAAAAAAAACTGAGTAGGCCTAGGCTCCAATCCCATCCTACCATGATTTGGCCTAGGCCTACCTAATGAAAACTTCCAAAAGAGTGCAACTTGTAACAAAGCCGGCCAAAGCTCACTGGTCTAGGCCTAATGTCTGCTACCATATGTGGCCCTTTGGTGAGATTAATGGTGTGAAAACTGATTATTGATTCTGTGGTGATGTGATGTATTGATTGTAATTAAGTGAAATGTGTTGGTAATTGGCTGTTGTGGGTGTTAGGGCCTGGAGGACCCTAACATGTTGCAATTAAGAAAGTGCTGTACTCTACTACCATCTTGAGATGACAATTAAATTGGAAACGTTGTTGGGGAACCAGAGGGCGGAAATCTTTACCCAGACCAGAAGCAGGCCAAGCCAGCTTTGATTACTTATTTTTAACTATTTAAAAGAACTATAGCTAACCTTCCAAACTAAACTGGTAGATAGTGTAAATGGTAATGAATAAAAAACAGGTAAATATCACTCCCTAACTCATTACTGAATCAATTTGGACTCATAAGGCGATTCCTGAAAGAATTGATACTTAAGCCTTCAACGTGGTGATTTTTGCATGTCTAGGAATGATTACCTCGTTAAGCGAGGTAATCATATAATTTGGAATTTACATTTCTGCGAATGGGGCGAAAGCCTGCCGGCTTCCCCTTAAATAATTAAACTAGCCTATCATCCTGGTCTTAGCTCTACTTAATAATTAATTATAGACTCATCCTGATAAAACGAAGGCATGTCGATCTCAGTAAACGGACAATCAGAAAATCCAACGAAGGGGACGGAGGCCGGCGACAGACAAGTCCGAGGAAAACTCGATTTCGTAGCTCCTTGACGTTTCTCGAAAAAAAGGCAAGCGGCAGACCGAAGGAGGCGCGCCGATCGCAAGGCCAGCGATTTAGTTGTGTGGCACTATATAAAATAGTGGCGCTGAGCGTCACAATACATAGTAAAATACTAGGATGTTCAAATTATTTTTTAAAGCAATCTTTGTAATCTTCGATTTGTTTTACAGCAATTTAATTTGTTTTAAGTAACAGCTGGTTAAATATAAACTATGGAACTATGAGGTTATTTTATTTACTCTTATTTTGTCATTGATTATAGGAAATAAGTAAGATTAGTTGAGGTAATTATACCACAGTTTTAACCAAAATTAATTAAACCACACTACAAATCAAGGCTCTGTACACAAGAGAGTCTTAATAAAAAAGGATAAATGCAATTATTTTATGCTACACTTTTCAAGGAAAGATTAGAAAAATAACAAGGTTTACATGTTTTAATTCTTCATGGTAGCTTTTTGTTTACAATTACCGGTAATGTTTGTTTGCTTTAACTTTGTTTGGATTGGGCCCGGAAATATTGATATCATAAAAAGAAGATCAAGAATTATCAGGAATCACGATTTTAAATTACCACCACAACCGTAGCCGGGTTTTATACATAGATAAACAGATGGATGACATAGATTGAACACAACGTCAACATTGACCTACGATACTGCAATTAGACAAACCATCCTTTTATGAAATCGTGTTCAGTTGTGGTTACGTTTGGGGGCAATGAATATATTGTAGTTTAAATTAACTAATATGGGAAATTACGATGTACATTTATTCAATGAGGGTGGGTAATTATCAAGGATAGAACTGATAACGGTATGGATAATAAACATTGACAATTACGTCATTAGCTTTACTAGCGTGTTTATTTTTTATATTCCTGCTACATGTGACCAGTTCTTTTTTTTCAAATGAATGTTATTTGAACCAAACAGCTGTTTCAAAACAAACTGTTATTGTTTTTACTTTTCTTTGTTTACGCTTATTTATTTAGCCATTAGTGCAGTGAAATTGATATAAAAGATAGGTGTGACGATTAGTTTTGATGTTAGGACACCAAAGTTAAATTATGTGTACTGTGAATTTTATTGGATATTATCGTTTTATTTTAGGTTGTTTCTATTCAGACCTACTGGAAATTATGTATAGTAGTTGTATTGTGGTGATAATAATTATGGAAGAGGCAGTCGTATGCTATGGAAGGTGGTATCGTTGACTAGGTCTATACACTTCTCAATTGACTATTACTCTCTCTAATGTAGGCTACTTATAATCAGTGTGCGTCTGTGCGAATCGGCTGCAAATCTCACTTCAACGCTTTTCACATCGTAAAAATTGCAGTACTGCTGTTTTATTGTAAAATTATCTGATTTAAAATGCATATCAGATCGGCCTGTGATGGAGGAAAAACATATTTGGTCACACAACATTTGTTTACAAGATGATTTTTCACATTAAAACTGCAAGAAACTTTGTCTTTATATGTGTAAACTAGCCGATCTGAATTGTACACGGTTTTAACTGACTACTGAATTCCCGTACGTAGGACGGGCTAACACCTCGTCACTAGTGAATGACGAAGTAATTAAAAACATTTATTTGTCTTCAACGTTATGATGAAAAAAAATATCCGAAAATTAATGTTGCTGTATCTTATACTGTAATACTAGCACTACCTGCACTACCTTTTTGTCTGTCTGTCATATATATATTCCGAAATCTAGCGAAAGAATATCGAGATCCAGTTTTGGCTAAATTTTGGAAATTAGGTCCTTATAGCCCTAAAAACTTGTATGGTACCTAACAGCCACTATCTTAGGAAAATTCGTACTTTGCGACTCAGCACATTTAAAAAGTACCTGCTGGGGACCGATCCATGGCTCGGTGTAGTGTATTTTGATTGTAAAAGCAATATAAAAAACTCAGGTTTAAGTACAACATTATTTTGGTTTTTGTTATTTAAGTTTAAGTTGATTTTAATTTATTATGATGGAAATTTTAACCTCAGGGCAATCCTGAAGACATTTATTTAATTTACGGTCGACAAAAAATTGATGGTTTATAATAGCCTATACTTGAATAAACATTGTTTTGACATTTTGTTTAAATTAAAACAGCTGATTACTTTGGGGATTAAGTGTTGGTAGGAGAAAGCCAGGTAAAACAATCAGTATTTGATTGGAACTTGGAACTATTTCCAGCTATATCGAGTTATCTTCAGTGTAATCTTTGCTCAATAGTAACAACTGATGTTTTTTCCTTTTGTACTGTATTTTGTAATTTGCTAGTATACTGTGGGTGGATGGCTCATTATGAACACATGTTACAACTTAAAAGTCTTTTGTTTACTTTTTCCTTGTTATTTTGTTCAACCAACATGTTTACTTAGCAACCAATAAGGCCAATGTTTTGACTTTAAATTTCATTTTTTACGTAATTAGATTTTTGTTAATAGTTTTAACTGCATTAAACACGTTTTTAGGCCAGAATTTAATTATTTACAACATTTGAAATAAATCGTCGAAGCCGTTTTCGAGATCTTTGTGCAAGCAAGCATAGAAGCGTACATACATACAAGCAAACATTGCTCATATGAGAGTATAAAATTAAAAAAAATACATTGGCCTAATGGGTTTCTAAGTAGCTACTTTGGTTGAATAAAATAACAAGGAAAATGTAAACAAAGGACTTGAAGCATGTGTTCAAAACAAGCCATCCACAGTATACCAGCATAATATGGATTACTGTATTCAGTTAAATTAGTATTATGTTGATAGTAAACAATATATACATTTAAATCGGACTTATCTGTCTCAGCTAATCCATCATACGAGATTATTTTTGAGAGTATATTCATGCTGAAGATTTACTTCTACTTA